AGAGGGTCATACAGTCTGTAGCTGGGGTGTGTGGGGTCTTTGATGATGCTTAGAGCTTTCCTCAAGCACCGTCTGTCATAAATGTCCTGTATAGATGGGAGGGCAACCCCAGTGATGGACTGGGCAGTTTTCACCACCCGCTGTAGGGCTTTGCGGTCAGCAATACTGCAGTTGCCATACCACACTGTGAAGCAGCCTGTCAGTGTGCTTTCTGTAGCGCATCTGTAAAACTTAGTGAGGATCTGGGGACATATCTTAGCCTTTTTCAACCGTCTTAGGAAGGGTTTTCTCAGAAACCCTGAACATGTGGAACTTAACAATGGTGGTAAGCCCCTGGCAATCAGAATCCTGCGTCCCCACAAGCTGCTATACTGTATCTTTAACAGCATCGCCAGGCTGTGGGGAAGTTTGATTTTTGCCAACCTCAGACAGTGTTCCTATGATTGAAGTGCGTGTACTCGAGAAAGCACTCAGAACCTTTGGGTATTTCAGAGCACAAACAGATGAGACAAAGTTACACACTGCTGTTAACAGAAAACCTTAGTTTTGGCTGCTTGGAGCTTGCCGGCAGATACATTTTACATTTACATTTCATTGACACCCAGCTGCTGTGTGCTCTGCATATTTTTGAAGAATGCCAGCCACATTCGTGCTGGGTGTGCACAGCAGATTAACGGCATCAGCAGATTTGTGATGCAAATTCAGTGTGGAAGACACTCCTGGAAAAAAAAAAAGAAACTACCCTCTACAAATGGGATAGGTGAGGTTACATGAAATAAAAGAAAATCTGAAGTAGGTCTTGGAAGATTGGCAGTGAAGTTGAAAGTAGGCTGTTTTTTCATGTGGCACAGCAGGAAGTGAGGGATTTGTCAGTGTACACAGTCAGCAGGTGCCTCTGAGTTTTTCTGCCGGCACTGTTTTACGTGTTAACTAACAGAAGGAAAAGATAAATATAGATTTTTGATGACACATTCCTCGATGCAGAAAATATGACTTATTTTCACAGCTCGCTCTGATCATGAGGTGGGATTTTAGTTATTTCTGCTGGTTGTCAAGGACCTAACGGAATCTATGGGGCGTTGATTTTTAAAAAAAAGGCACACCTCATGCTTTATTTTGCTTTGTTTAGATCTTTTTATTTTTGCTCTAAGCGATAATTTTTCTACTGCAGTTCCAGCTACCAGGTGTGATCTCTAGATTAAAAAAATAGTTTATGGCTTTATTCCAGCATTAAAATTTCACATACTGTACAGTGAAATTATATTGGACTCAGAATCCATATGAAGGGGGACACATTTCCCCTATTGTTGTGAAATTTATCAGGGCTCAAGTCTGAACACAGGTGGAACAGTGTCTTTTCAGCTTTATGAACTAGAATCTGCTTCATGTTATCAGTAATCCACCATCAGTGCACTAGTTTTATTACTAGACAGTGTTGTAGGTAGGAAATGAAAGATTTTCATAAGTCTTTCGGGATACATGAAGCATGTTCATCGATGTTAAACACTGAATAGACGTGTGATGGTCCCTCTGGTGTGTATGTGGCCAGGGTGCCTTTTATTCTGAGCTCCTTGTTTTGGATTTTGTCGTTCCAGATATTTAGACAGCTGGCCTTTTCACATGTGTGACTGTGGTCTTCTTATTGACCCATTGACAGAAAAAGTTTTTATGTTGTTGTCATGAGAGATTTGAAGTCTGTTATGGGAGGCGATAAAGTGTTCGTTTTCCTTTTGGGATTGTGTATCCTAGAAGTGGTGTCTTGCCGGTTCCATGGATCTGCCTGGTGTTCCGTGGGGATCGGAGGGGGGGAACATGGGGTCAAGGTGATGCTACATTTACTGTCATCGGGATGTTTTCCAAATTCAGCAATTAACTGGAATTGCATGGGCTAGGTTGCGAAGGAAGGAAATTATTTTTGATGACATATGAAAATACTGTATTTATGCACAAATTGTGTATTATGCCTATAACAAAACTCTGTTACCATTCTCTGGTAAAAGCTGGTACCAGACTGTTTGCTTGTAGGCAAGAACATAAAAGTGACATTAAATTCCCATTAAAATGCATGCATATGTCTTTGATTTGTTACACATGCTCGTAACTTTTCATGAGCAAATTAGGTACTTTTCTGATGTGTTTGAGTAGTTTAGAACCATAAATCAAGTACTATACATAAAATACATAGCATTAACCAACACTTCTTTTTATATGCAAGCTGCTACAGTATGTTTAAGTGTATTAGGAAGCACTTATTTGGTGACATTTGCATAGTTTCTATAGTACACATGAACAAATCAATAATCATTATTAAATAAACATTCTTTATTATGTTAGTTATTAAATCTTATAGAGTCAAAGACGGAGCAAAACCCATAACTGAAAAGTAGGTATGTGCATCAAGGTGTCTGGTGATCAGCTAGCAATACTGCGCATTCATAGTGCACATGATCAAAATAAACATTTTGTTGTGTAAAATGTTAAAATTCATGAATCAATATTATTTTAACAATTATGCATTTACAATGTTATTCACCACCATAATTAGACTAATATCCTTATAACGTCTGAGAAGATATTGAGAGCCAAGCACATGCACAATTAAAAACGGAAGAATGAGCTACACCTGAAGCTCGTGTCAGCAAAGGATGTTAACTCCTTCAACAGAAATAGGTATGCATGTATGTCCCTCATTTTAGCCAGTACTTCTAAGTGCTCATTTAATGAGAGGTGAGCGTGCATACAATAAAGTTGAACCTTTCCTGCTTCGCTACTATACCAGGTAATTGTGGTAACTGTGTAGATGTAGGACTGAATTTTCCTGGAACAGCTTAATCAGCACTTCCTGCTGAAGCAGTTCCGTAGAGTATTGCTCCAGACACTGCTGGTGTCAGCTGTGTGAAACGCTAATGAAATGCATGAACTACAGTATGAAATCAGCAGGAACACTGTCATAGTCCAGAAAAGGATTAAAAGACAAGTACAAGTACAGGATCAACAATGGGTAAACTAACAAAGAATATTAACAAAGTAGTCTATATTAAGATGTTATGTAAATAATATATTCTTATAAATAGTGCTGAGTATGGCAATAAAGGTTTCTAATAATGCGTAATGGTTCTGAAAATGCACTACAGAGTACAGGCAGGTCTTGCAGTTGCTGTGAGAGCAATGCCCTGGGCCAGAGATCTCCATGTGCACTTGGTGAATGAGAGCTGGGGCCTCTGTCATGCCCTGCTGTGCCGGAGAAGACAGGTGGATTGTGTTCAGCCTACGAAGATCAGACAGGCAACCAGAGCTTGTATCTGGAGGCTAGCCTCTGCAGCAAGAGCTGTATGTTTTTTTTTTTACTGGGCCGGGTGCCCATATGACTCAGCTTCAATCTTGAGTGCGTTTCCAGGTGAGTTTCCAGACGGCGTGAGGAGAGTGCTTAACCTGATGTGACTGCGACATTGTGCTCGAGATCTGAATGTTTTAACCCCCCACATACCCAGACC